TTAGCCGAGATCTCTGGGATGACAAGGCTGCCAAGGTCGTAGAACCTTTTGTAGAGCATGTTAATTACAGCGAACCATGTAAGGACTTCTTAAGATCTTATAACGGGCAGCGTGTCAGAAATCAATACGAATGTTGCAGGAAATGTACCATAGATCAATGAGATCAGTCAGCCAGCAGTCCCTCCTTAGGAAGGAAGGTAACAACAAAGACAGCCACGAGATGAAGAGCCAAGGAGGTGAAAAGTGCTGGAGGTGAAAAGTTTCAATAAACCCTGGTAAGGAAAAGTAATATTCAATAACATGACAATGGGAAAAAAACATACTCAAAATGCATCATATCATGGATTTATGTCATTAATGCTATCAAATGACTTCAGAAGATTTCAAAAGAATAAAGCACGTGAGTCTTATGGACAAGGTTTATGATGCTGTGTGTGTTTTTCTTAGATGTTTAATCATACATATACATATATTACTTTATATATTATATACATATAAAATGTTTTTTGTTTGTGGAAAAATATGCACACATTGTTTTCACAAATATACAAATATATATATATATATATACACACACACACACACAAAATAATTATATACATTAAAAATATAAATAAAAACATGATTATTATTGTGAAAAAACATTATTTTGTCTGTGAAAAAATATTACACACGTGCACACACATATTTTTGTGAAAAAAAATATTAATAATTTTTTTGTGAACATTATTTTTCACGCTAATAATCTCAGCATTCAAAATATAATTCAGAATATAGAATAATTATATAATTTAAATACTGTATAACATATGTATGATTCAACACAGGAAAAAAAATTATATTAGGAAGTTTGTATATTAAACATCACATCAGTCATTTAAATATATGAAATATGTTTAAATGAAAGAAACTATATATATTAAACAAAATATAAACAATCTTGAGCCTTTGTGCTTAAATATGTTTTATATATATATATGCATATATATAACTATGCATGCTTGAATCATTTGCTAACATTACTGGCACTATTCTGCCAGAATGCTCATCAAACTGATAGATATTTAAGATGCAACATTGATGCCTAAGATGATAGCAGCACATTCATAAATACATACAGCCACTACAGTAGCTGTAGAGATAATTACGGATACAGTGCCATTTTCCAGAGCTACATTCGGCTTCCACTGTTTGCCCACTACTGGCCACCTGTTGCTGCTAATGAGTGTAGTGGGGTGTGAATGTGAACAGCTCCCAGCTGCAGCCCAGGGTTCATGAACTAACACAGTGATACTGGATATAATTGACATTGGTGGCATTGGGCACGGTTAGGCCAGGCTCCTACAGTCTAACTGCCATCGATTTAATGACCGAGGCAGAGGGGCGCTCACACTGCTAACCCGAGAGCATGTGGCCTCTCGGGAGGGTTTCTACAGCCAGGGCAACCATGGCAACAGCTGAGCCTTACCTGCTAACTTACACAAACATTGCCCACACACCCCCACGTACAAACACAAAAACCCAGCCCCAGAGGTTAACAAGGCACAGTAATATGGAAGGAACGAGGGGACTTCCTTGTAAGCCAAGTTTGCAACTAATCTGTGACAAAAAGCCCCAGAATGTAGCCAAGTGCATGTCCACAAGTGACACAATTCTAGTGTGCAAGTTGGTTTAAAATATGGCTGACCAGCCATTAGGTGTGTGCACTGTTCTGACAAGCGAGAGAATCTAGGAAATCAGAGAAAGTATATATGCAAACAGCATTCATGCACTGTAAAAAAATTAGTGTGATTTTAACAGCAAAAGACTGTAAAAATGCTATACAGCAAAAACTTGTTAATTAGTTACATTTAAACAGTAACTTGACATTCCCAGAATTCCCTGCATGACACTTCACCTTTGATGTTTTTCTTTTAAAATAACTGTTTCTTTTTAGTTGTTCTTATCAGTTGTGTAAATTAATGTTTTATCTTACATCTAACTTTGCTTAATTAATGTTTATTGCATTATTTCAGTATCATGTGTGTTACTATGATGGTGTTTAGTATTTCTGTGAATGACACTGTGCAGCTATATTAGTATTTACCTCTCCAGCTTGTGGAAAAGCTGTTTGTGATGAGCTTTGGTTCATCATGTGACTTTCTCATCACCTACCACATCAGTGTATTACAAAGATACAAAACAGATATTAATACTTCAACAGGTTGGTATATTAACATTGTGTCAGTTGATTTTTTTATTTGTTTGTTTTTACTGTGAATTTAAATTCAGACCTAAAATGTAACAACGGTAAAGTTCTGGCAACCACAGCCGCTGGTATTTTACCTTAAATGTCACCGATTTTTATATATATATA